GCGCCCGCGCGCCGGGCCCGCAATGCGCATGCTCCGCAAGTCCCGCGGGCCAACGGGCCGCGCTCCCGGAGGTGCGGGGCAGGGATCCCCGCCGCGCTCGACAGTTCCCGGGGTGCGTCCCCGCCCTTCTCCTACGGGCTCCTCCAGAAGACTGAGCTCGCCCCAGAGCGGGACACTAATAAGAATTTATTCGGTTATCATCGAAAGGGACAGGGGCTTGTGTAGTGTCACAGGCCGCTGGCTCTCAACACCTGGCATTCAGAAAATTCTCCTTGACCTCTATCCTAGGCTCTAGGGTTCAGATCGAGCCACAGGACAATAAAAAGTAACAGTTCGTACTGCGCTCAGTGCTCTTAGGAAAACCTTTAGGGGCGCTGGGCTCCAAAGTACATCTAAGTTATTATTAGCCAGTATGACTTGCTCTTTCTCTTCTTCCTGACCTCCACGGGCATCTACTCTGACCCTTCTCCCTGCCTCCTTTTTCCAGCCACCTGACACTTATTCTCTACAAAATCACTCCATGTCTAGACTGTAAGCTTCCTGGGACAAGAACTTCGTTTTACTGACTGCTCCATCTCCATCACTTAGGACAGTCCGGTACACAGCACGTGCTCAATCAACAGGCATTGAGGTCCAGTGAGCCATATAACTTCTCTGTGCCTCTGTTTCATCAACTACAAAGTGGAGATAAAGGTGATTGTGAGGGTTGAATGAGTCAGTATCTGCGTAGAACAGTTGCCATTTCCAGCGTGAGTGCGATGTGACAGTGTCATTATTATGAAATGGTAAAAGAGAGAATGAGCCTTCACACCAGGGTTGTGTGGCATAGTAGAAGGAACACCTGGCAGGTTACTTAAGGTCTAGCCCTGGCATCACCACCTACTACAGGTCATGACCTCGTCCCATTCTGTTTCCTCATCTGTATGACAAAAGGGAGGGGGGGAGCCAGTGGGTGGTTTTCGAGGCTATCTTACCCAGGAGCAGGGAACACTGAGTTGGTGAGTGGTCAGGAGCCTAGGTTTTATAGTTTTGCCATGGACTCCTTATCTGCAAAATGGAGACAGTTTCAGGGCTTTTGTTGGCATCAGAAGACATAGCAGAAATAAAACTCAGCACAGTGCCTGGCACATGGTAATGCCTCAAAAAACGAAGCTACCAGGTAACACTTTGTGGCTAGCCCAACCACTCGAATAGTATTTAAAATAGTAAAATTTAATTTGTTCTTAAATTGGCACCACTCTTCTGCTCTGTGAAGCCCTGTCGCCTGAGTGGTCTCAGGCAGAGGCTGCACCCCAAGTTCTGGTTCCTGATTTAGACTTTCTCGGATGCATCCTAACAGAAAAGAAACCTCATGCTCTCCTCGAGCCGCCACCAGAGATATTTACAAAAGGCAAATCTTGCCAGGCCACTCGCCTGCTCAACAACTTCTATTTGCTTCCTCGGGGCATAGTCCACATGGCAGACGAGGGCACGTTCAAATGCGTGCCTCTCGCTCCTCTCCCACGCCTGGGCTCTGCCAACTCCCTGCCCTTTCTGCTTCTCTTGTTTTGCTTACTTTCTCTCACTTAATCATAGAGACAGTACATATCTATGACCTTTTACCTGCCATTCTGAATTCCAAAATCTTCAGAAAACCTTTCATAATGTGTTGGAAAAACCTGTTTTGACCTCAATTCATTTGTTGACAAAAATCTGAGCAGAGATTGTTTACAGTGTTTCTTACACTTGGAACATATATCAGTGTGTTTTTCTGCAGAACTATCAATGCATTTGATTATGGGATGCTACTTCAGACCCTGCTGGAACTGCAATCTCATGCACCACCTTTATGTACCATATAACTTTCTAAAATCTGAACAAGTCTTAAGTTCTGAACCATTTGTCCCCAAAAGTCTCTGGTAAGAAATTACGGCTCTTATAACACAGTATTCGATTCTAGAGTCAGACTGCCTGGGTCCATATCCAAGCTGTGCCAACCAATAGCTGCGAGACCTGACGAGCAAGCCTCTCTGTGACTGTTTTCCCATCTGACGAAATGGCAAAAGTACCCACTCTCCTAGAGTGCTGCAGAATCCTCTGAGTTTACAAATAAATGAAGCGCTTAGCACAGTGCTATCCAAGAGATTTGCCCCTCACGACTACTGGACCAAGCGAATATTGGCATCTCCATTACACACTGAGAAGTCACAGTTCAGAGAAGGTAACAGCGCAGTTTAAACCTTTTCACCCAAGTGGTTCGACAGGGTGGGAAGGGTGAGGATCAGGAAAGGTAGTTTTCTGAAGTGGTTCCCCACCTAAATTAATGCTTTGAAAGTTCTCTTTTTATTTTAATACCCATAGAAATTCAGCTTATTTCTTTATACCTGGCGTTTCCCCCAAAATCTTGCTGGAAAACTGACTTTGGCCTTGTTTTCATCCGGTGCCTTGAGACTCTACACACAACCGAGGGCTTCAGAGGACCCAGTTTTGAGACCAAATGACCATGGACTTTTTGCTTCAATCGCGACAACACCCCTCCCCGGCACATGCTTCCCAGACACGAGGCCGGGTAGCTGGGAGGCCACGCCCCTTCCTGGCATAGCCACACCTCTTCCTCAGGAAGCCCCGCCTTCTGGGCGCAAAGCCCGCCGGACGCCCAGGCACGTACCACTGAGCGTCTCGGGGGGCTCGGGACTACCGGTTTGGTGCCAGGTTGTCCCCAACACCGCTCAGACTGAGCTCGTTCCCCAATTCTGGCCCTCTGGGCTCCCAGGGTTTTCTCCAGGGGAGCTTTCACGGTTCCCCATGCTAGCTGTTCCAGGGCTCGCCCCCTCCGGACCTGGAAGGTGGCGTGGTCCGGGGCGGGGCCTGCGG